TTTTTTTTGAGACAGAATCTCACTCTGTTGCCAGGCTGGAGTGCAGTGGTGCTATCTTGGCTCACTGCAACCCTGGGTTCAAGCGATTCTCCTGCCTCAGCCTCCTGCTGGGACTACAGGTGCACGCCACCATGCCCAGCTAATTTTTGTATTTTTAGTAGAGATGGGTTTCACTATGTTGGCCAGGCTGGCCTCTATCTCTTGAACTCCTAATCTGCCCACCTCAGTTTTCCAAAGTGTTGGGATTACAGGCATAAGCCACTCTGCCTGGCCCAAATTTTTTTAAAAAAACATTATCTGGGCATGGTGATGTGCACCTGTAGTCTCAGCTACTCAGGAGGCTGGGGCAGGATGATGGCTTGACCCCAGAAGTTTGTGGCTACACTGAGCGATGATCATGCCACTGCACTCTAGCCTGCACCACAGAGTGACATCGTGTCTCTAAATAAATAAATAAATAAACATTTTCCAATTTATCTCTAGTCACTAAATTTATAAGTAATATAAACCTAAGTACTATAATACCTTGTAGCCCTTTAGTAAAAGAGAAAAAGAAACATTAAAAACAATATTATCCATTATTCATTAATTGGTATATCTCCATTCCTACTACCTATTTGAACTTTCTAATTTTTTCTCTTGGTTCTGAAGTGTTACATCACCTTCGTTCCTTACTATATTAATGTTAGATAAACATACAAGCCTGCTTATGAGAAATATATTTGGTAAATAGAATTATAAAAATGATGTAGAAAGGCGGAGAGGGATCCAGGCAGACATCAGATGATTCAATTTGAGATAAAGAAAACCCTGGAGAGGAACCCTTGTTTATGGCCTTCATGGTTTGGAACTCGATAACTTGGCCACAGGAACACCAGCCATAAATAGCATACAACAGAACCTGATTCCTTGGCACACCCCAATGCAACCTCAAATGTGCTGAGTCAACAATCCCTATATAAATAATCAAATGAATACACTCTACTGGGTCAAGTTCACCTGTGTGTTGGGATTTGTTTCCATGTGAATCACCACATTCAAAGAGAGAAACTAAAGAAATTTCCCAAGTATTCCTTTAGTTTGGATGTGGACAGGTACAGATATGCAAAACATCCAAATAAAGACATTTCAACAGTCTATAGTATCATATTCACTTTATAAATACAGACGCCACATCCAGTAGTGAGAGTCTTTCCTCATAACTAAAATTCCTAATTGTAAAACCGAAATTTTAAAACATTAGCTTTGCTTCAGGGTAATCCGCTGTATCTACTCTTTGTAACATTCTTCCACAGTGGTTGTATTTGCCTTGTGATTATGCCAAGGGGATACTTCAACTTAGACTTTTTTGTTGGGAACATCAGAAACAATCTCTCTTAAACTGCATTGAAAAACACTAGGGGGTCACACCTTTTGTTTCACCTGCCGAACTTCCTTAATAAAGCCAACAAAAAGCTTTCAGAGGTGGACTTCTATACTGGCAAATGTCAATTCAGACCTGTTTAATAGAGTGAACCAACTTGCCTGCTCCAGTCAGCATTCCACCCAAATTGACTAGGTGTGGCTTTTATTCATTGTTCAGTCACACTCAACAGAATCTGTTCTGTAGCTACCATCGCATTTAGGTTGACATTCCCTTTATCTAGGGGCTTATAATAAGCAATGCATATTCAATTTTGCCAAGGCAGATGTACTCTTTTGGTATTCTAGAAACAGATCAAAGTATTCTTTGTGGAAAGACATGAAGTTCAAGCCAGTGATACAAATGGGTCTAAATATGCAACCCTACACATATCAGCACTGGAAATTTCTTAAACAAAAGCTTGACTATTTTAAAGATAAGAATCAATCAGATTATTGAGTAGGGGTGATTAAAAGGGATAGACAGTTGTTTTGGGGAGAGTAGGTACCAGAGAAATTAAGTAAAATGATACATTACTTCTGTAATAATATCGGGATCCACAATAAAGAAAATTTTTTCCAAATCAGACTGGTAAATGATACTTAAAATTGCTCCCACTAGCTCAATTATACCATGCTTACAAAGTGGCTTCCTTAGACCACAGAAGAGGAACATAACAACCATCTTGGGGTTAGATTTTTATACACAGAATAGCTGCAGGAATTAATCATTTATCAGCTCATCGCATCGTAACAGCTATCATAAAGTAACCTACAAGGTAGAGAAGCAATTTCCAATTGTTGCCTTGGGTCTTCTAAGTAATGCCTCGTATCTTGTAATATGTTTTCAAATGAATTGTACTCCTGTGAATCATATCAGTCATCTTCTCCCATCTGAAGTCTGAAATTACCCTCATCGAAGAAAAGATCAGCAAACGTATTATAACATAGAGAGCATGGAGAATCAAATTAGAAAGCACAAGTGAAGAGGCTGGAAAGCAAAATGGATTTCTTATTGGATTCTCAAAAAAGTTACTTCCTATTCTCCAGTGTGAGCCAGCATGATCAATAACACTTGAAGAGTGAGACTTGGAATGGAGAGACTCTAGCAGAGGCTGAATAGAACGGCTTCCCTCAGTACCCCTACTTGACTCCACTTCTTGCTCTTTGATTCCCTGAAACAAGGCATTTCACTAGTACCCTGAAGCTGTCCCTTGACCTTTGAAAAGATAAGTGTTACAGCTCTGTAGGAAACACTGGGCTCAGGTGTCTGATAATGAAACCTGCATCCTATTCTTTGCTTAGTTTGAAAGTGAGACATCCCATGAGAAGCTGAGAGTAGTAGCTGTGAGTTAAAAATCTCCCTTGCCATACCTTTGACCAACATCTTCCCCCGTCCCCTCCCACCCACGTCCCCTGGCAACCACCTTTCGACTCTCTGTTTCTATGCATTCAGTTTTTTCAAGATTCCACATATGAGATCATATAGTATTTGGTTTTTCTGTGTCTGGCTTATTTCACTTGGCTTAATGCCTGCCAGTTTCGCCCATGCCATCTGATTTCACAATATATACGTCTAACAAATCAACATGCTGTACACTTTAAAATATATACAATTTTATTGGATAATTATACCTCAGTAAAGCTGGGGAATAAAATAAAAGCTGCCTTGCTTTATTCCCTGCTCATTCACGTTTTCTGCACTTACCAAGCACATTTACTTCTCTATGGTTTTGTTCATAACAATTTTCAGTGTCCAAAAGACTTTATCTTCCCTCTGCCCTTAGAAGTAGGGAGGGACTGGGATACATCAGTATGTGAAAGCCCAGAGAAAGTTTGTGCAAGGACTTCAACAATGTAAAGAATTACTGAGGGTCAAAGAGGAGCTTTGAGGAGCTTACCTTCTACGAACTAATTTACCAACATAATTAATCACCATTGAGTTCCAAGGCAAATCTTTTTGGTAAACTGATAGTACAGAACATGAAATCTATTTATTTTACTTAAATCTGTCTAGACATCCTGGAAAAAGAGTATCATGGTACAAACCTTTAGTGATTCATCATTGCCTCTCCCACCTGTTTTTGCATTTATCCATAAAGATGTATTCATGAAAGTGTGCCATATCCTTGAATTCTGAGAATCAACTTTATAGTGAGATGGGCTTTACCGATAGCAGACTGTCCTACTCCCACATTTTCATTGCATCTAAATACTACATACATATTTCAGCTTTCAATATGTTCATTGTAGTCACTGATTAAGTATGTAACAAATAAAGATAACATAGGCTTTTCAAATTTATCCTGTTAATACGTTAAAGGAAGTAGGCCAGCTGGAATTAGAATGAGGCACCACTGAGTTAAATGTGAGGCTTGAAGAACTATAGCAGAAAAGGGAGAGTTTTCAATTCCCCCTAAGAGATGTAAAAACAAAATGTAAGTTTCTATTTTAAGGCATAGGGACAAGAGTGAATTTTCAATAAAACAATATGAACAGATATAGCTTAATTAATTTCTAAAGGATCCATTGAAACTCAGAAGTCCACAAAAATAATAGATACTTGTCTAGAATGACCACAATCTTAATTTTTGCATAGGAAAACCCTGCAGCTAGGATAAGGGAAAGCCACCATCAAGATCATGAGAAATTGGGAAAAACTGAGAAATGGTGATAGGGCAGAGAAGAGAGGGGAGCTACAATTCAAATGAATGCACTGTGGTACCCTAACTCAGACACTGATAGAAAACCTGGGGAAATCTGACTGAAGTCTGGAGTTTAGTTAATGACGTGCAATTCCAGTTTCTTGCTTTTGACAAATCTACCACAGTAATATAAGATGTTAACAGTGGGGAAAACTGAGTGAAGGGTAATACAGGAACTCTTTGTACTATTAATGCGTTTGCAACTTTTCTGTAAATATAAAATTATTTCAAAATAGAAAGTTTATTTAAAAGCAAGAACAGGCTGGGTGCAATGGCTCACACCTGTAATTCCAGCACTTTGGGAGGCTGAGATGGGTGGGTCACCTGAGTTCAGCAGTTCGAGACCAGCCTGGCCAACATGGTGAAACCCCGTCTCTACTAAAAATACACAAAAAAATTAGCTGGATGTGATGGCAGGCACCTGTAATACCAGAAACTTAGGAGGCTGAGGAGGGAGAACTGTTTGAACCTGGGAGGCAGAGGTTGCAGTGAGCCTAGATCGCACCATTGCACTCCAGCCTGGACAACAAAAGTGAAACTCTGTCTCAAAAAGAAAAACAACAACAACAAAATCCCCATCAAACAAGAAAATATGTTTGAATTCATATCCTAGAATTCAAAGGTTTCCATGTAATAATAATAAAAACTCTTCTTATCTTAAAATGTCCCCGCTCCTTTGTCCATATTCTTTTATAAACTGAACTCATGCATAAATGCAGCCAGGTTTTCAATGGAACACACCTGACTGCTCTCTTCATATGCACAGCTCTGTAGTGTCAGTGAACACATTAGTTTGTGTCCTAAATCCTGTTGCAACGAACTTCCTCAAGACCCTGCCAGGTTATTCCACTGTAGATATTTATTGGCAATTTTCAAAAGATAGCTGCAACTTACAAGTGATGACATTTGAGCGTTCTGGAGCATAAGCTGCATCTGCTGGGCGAACATGGCTGCGGCAGTCTTCTGTTGAATCAGATTGTTCCGCCCATTAATTTCCAGCTGTGTTTTTAAGTGTGGAGGAGGGTGAAGGTACTTGCAGTTCTCTCGAGTGCACCGACCCTAACAATGAAGAATAGGGAAAACATTTAATTAGAACTATACACAAATAGATAAATTTTGAACTCCATTATCTGGGGATGATCTAAGCTCCAAAATTCTTCTTCTTGAATCCATAAAAGGCGAGAAACACCCTGAAATTCACTGACAGTCTGTTAATGAAATAATAAATCCCTATGCTTGGCAGCCATTTTGTTCTTTAGGTTCCAGAGATAATGGCCCTAGATTACTTGCATGATGGAGACCAAAGTGTATTTTGGATTCTCAGCAAATTGAATGTTTTTTATTGATGTTAAGCACTTTCAAGACAGGATAGTATGTCAGTTCTGTGGAACCAAACTTGCTTTTGGTGTCAACTAAATGCTGGCATGGCTGCTAATTATGTTTGGTATGTAGCAGCAAAGGATGTTGCTGGACTAGTTGTTGATCACATTGTCATAATGTGACCCATTACTGTGTTTTACTCATGAGCACTATACAAAGAAGCTAATGAGTCTCTCTTATTTGGATTACTAGGTCCACCATAAACCTTTTAAGGAAGCACAACGGCAAACAATTCTGTTTCCCACAGATGCTAAGATTCTTTACAGTACATGAGGTTATTGGGGGGGGGTGGGGAGCAAAAGGGCAACATTTTTTTGGATGGAAGAGTGCAAGCTGCTAGGCCACCTGAATTCCCAAGAGAAAAATTAGTTTGTTCACCAAGTGTTTTCATTCAACACATGCTATGTGTCTTCCTTATTTATGATGCCTACATAGTTTATGCAATCACTTCTTCATTGTTTAGTTATCTTGTTATTAAAACATTCCTATAATTTCATTGAGAATCAAGACATGTCCTTCAAAGCTTTTCTAGAGCTACATATAATGCAAAGCCAGATGTACTGCGACTCCTCTTTTTAAATATTAGATCACTAGGACAAGGTGGCTCTATTGCTTTAACTCCTCTGGCAAGAAGCTGAATATAACTTAAAAGTCAGTGTGAGAAATTAAAAGACACCATTGTTTTCTGTGGAGTTCGTCTTTTTGTTTTTCCAAATGCTCAATTTACATTAAATTAAATTAAAATGATTTATAAAATCCAATCATTTTATGTACTTTTATATTTCTATGCAAATCTTGGAGAAAGAATAATTTATTGGTAGTATGAGTTAAGAATCGTATTAACCTAATCCTCCTAAATTCTTAAAAGTAGCCTAGGAATAGCTGTGCAATTTCAACATATATAATGAGTGTAAGGAGAACCCTGTGTGTGCTAAATCACAGTAATAGGGCTCTTTTCCCCATAAACGTACCCGAGAGAAACCATTAGCTTCTTTGTACACCCACCAACGTGAAGCAAGACAGAAACTGACAAGGATCTTTAGTTCCTAGATTCTCCACTCTCCATCTGCAAAACTGAGGTGATCAGACTCAGAATTAACAGCTGATGGAGGCAGTGGCACTTGGTGACTTCCGCAGCCAAACCCGCTAGTTTCCGCTTCTACTTCAGGGTTTCTCTTCCTCTTCCCACACCCTAACATTAAAGATTTCCCCAAGGCCCAGTTCTAAATCCTCTTGCTCTCCTCTCTAATCTTTTTTCCCTGGAGAAACTAAGTTTTTTCAAAGTTCCAAATACTTCTACAATTGCTTGGATCTTAAATCTCTATCTCTACCCCTGACCTCTTTTCTGAATTTCAGTCCTTTTTATTATCAATTGCAGCTGCATTTGGAGACCTGCCGCCTAACCGGGTCTAAATAACTTACTCCTGACCCTCCTTCTCCTTTGACTATTTTTCATCTTCCTGCATACTCCAGTTAGGGCCACCACTCAAATTCCTATGCGTTGGGGTAGCTTGACAGCAGTAGTGAGAGAAGAAATTAGGCAGCTGCTGAGCAACATTGCTTAAGGATTGCAGAGCCACCCAGATAGCTTGTTTAGACAATTAGCATACACAAGCATAGAACACAATTTGTAACTCCACTGCGAAAAAAACGCTATATAATGAAGAGTGTCTTTCATATTCAGGAATTTCAAACATTAGATAAGTTAAAGAAAAGAAAAAAATAAGAATAATTGGAATTTCACCATTTGTTACAATTTAGTTTTAATATCATGTACACTGAATGTAATCAGAGGGAGAAGAAGGGAGGGAGAGAACACACTGTATTTGGCACATTTCCTGCCGACATACTGATAAAGAAGTGAACATGCCTTTGTGCTTTTATATCCTTTACATAAAGTAACTTATCTTAAGCTTTTTCTTAGAAAACAATGACAGTTTAGCAGAGCAAAAACAGTACACAGAAATAGAAAAAAGAATTACACTTTAAAAAATTCTATCAAGTTGGGCTATAAAACTACAGAATATAAGGCAGCATGAGATTTAAATAAACATATTCATCTTAGTTATAAGATTTTACTCGATTTATAAAGCTTCTATTTTGAATGACAGAATCCCTAATTTAATTCTATAACTGCTGTTTATGTTCAAGAAAGCTTATAAAATAAAATAAAAATCTGCATTCTCTATCCAAACAATAGATGAGGAGGCCAAGTAATTTAATATCTATGTTATCTGTGGAATACAACATTTTTTTCCAAGACAACTTTAGAACTCAGGATAATATATTTATACGGACAACACTTGGTGATAATAAATCTCCTCTACATAGTGTTCATTCTTCAAGAGGCCCAAACTTAATTATAGGCCAAAATACTTTAATTGATGTTTGGGAGAGAACAAACTTGGTTTTTGACATCTGCTAACACTTGTTTTTTAATCCGCGGTACAGAATTAAGGCTTTGGTAAAGCATGTAAGTTTGAGATGGAGTGGGGATTAGGGAGGGACTGTCCAGTCGAGTAGGTAATCATCTATTGTTTTTGTCCTTTGGAAAATCAATAACTCTGTACTAGGAAGGTTCCAATGATTTCCGTAGGCCACCTAAGCACTCTGAGTGGGCCACAAGGTACCCTGTCACACTGGGTCTATAACAGTTTGATGTGATAGCCCAGCAGCCATGTTGGCTCTGAAAAATCACCTTCAGGTTTCCCTAGCCAAGTCAGTGGTGTCCCAAGCACTTCTTCTTCCAATCTAGACCCATAAGTTCAGAGTTAGCACACACTAGTGCAAAGTATCAGGCCCTGTCTTAAACGGCTCTGTAAATGTACCTGTGACAGTCGCCACCCTCTGGCAGAGCAGGCTATATACTAAAACCAGCAGCTAAGGGGAGTCAAGACATGAAAATCAACTCTTTCCCCCTCCCATGTACACTCAAGATTAAAGAAACGTTGAAGAGACTAGAGTGCAAGCTCATTTATGCTTGCCTCAATTTCCCTCCTTTTCCATTTCCTTTTGGGCTTAAAAAACATGTCATTCTCATCTGGTCTTTCACTGTGTTACTGAGTAAAGAAGATAGCAAAGTGATTCAAAAGGAAAGCGATTCTCTGCTGAAATAAGTGCTAGTACACCTATGAATCATATGAATCTTCCAGCTCCCCTTTCCCATCAACTGTCTTTTAAAAATGCACTCAAAAAGCAACAAGCAGGGGGTGAAAATAGCCGATGACATTTCTGAAGTACATCTGCATCAAGAAGTTGATGACAGACAAAGGGATACGTTGTAGAACATTCATAAAGCCTCCCAAATTCAATCTATTGCCTTTTTCCTACGTTCAGGCTTTTCCCAAATGAATACAAAGCCTTTGACTAAGAGAAAAAAGTGTAATTGTAGAGATTCAAATCCCACCTATGTCTGGGGAGTTATGAGAATCAGAGTCTGTCAGACACAAGACTTCCCATGCACTGGGTGGTAGAAAAACCCTGGGAAATGTACTTTATGTTCATGAGAGAAAGCCCTACCATACATCAGAATAAGAAAAGGAACCTGGGAGGCTGCAAATTACCCTTTGTCAGCCACAGTATCTTAAGAGAAACAGCTGCTTGCAGAACGACTTGTTTCGTCAAATACATATGAAGTTATATAGAAAAAAAAAAACCTAAATATTCTCTCTCAAATACAATTATACTGGATTACTTTTCAAATACATAATCTCACTGATCTGCTAGACTACCAAGAGTTAAAAGTTAAATGTTAAATCAAAGAACCCAACAGATGATTTGTTCTATGAATAAAAATGTTGTTATTCCATTTTAATCATCAAGTATTAAATGAAAAAAGTCTGATGATAGTGCCCCACTGTAACATACTTACATGCATAGACATGGCTTCTCAGAGGAAGTAACAGTGATTTCAGAATTACAAATCATATGTACCAGTTTGGCTAGATCCTGCAAGCATCACAGATTTATTTATTTATTTGTTTGTTTATTTATTTTTAATTTTACTTTAGGTGTATACTATATCCAGCATTTCTCCCCATGTTATCCCTCCCCACCCTTCCCACCCACGCTGTCCCTCCCCTACCCCCCCAACTGCCCCCAGTGTGCATCACAGATTCATTAAAGCTAGGAAAAACCTGAGTCAAGATCAACATACAATGAGTTATTAGGCAGATATCAGCATACTACTGGCAAGTTTCCCACTTTCTTCCTTTTAGAATTCTGTCTTTACAAAAATGGATAATCTGCATCATTTTCTCCTCCAAGTATTGTATCATCTATAAATGTTGACATAAATGCAAAACACGCAGACTTAAAATTCTGCATACAACTTTTAATTTAAATGTGAGATGCAGGCAAGAAATTTAGGGGAAAAACTCTTTCATAAACCATTTCCTAAATATAATGAAGGCAAAATTAATGAGGCTGAACGTCGATCCCCATGGAGAGGGCTAGCCAAGTACTCCCCACCATTGCAGCCAGCACTGTACCCACGTTCTTCATATTGTCCCAACTCTGTTTTCTTGACACAGCCCATACACACATACACAGGGCAATGACTTTGGTGCAAAGCAAATAACAAGTTTGAATAGGCGAGAAGCTGGGAGGAGAGCCGAATAATTTTCTTGCCTATCTGCCTCCAGAGAACTTTTACATTTTGATCTCCCAATGACAAAGGG